ACTTGTCGCCTGTGGGCGCGGCAGCTGTCCGGACATGTGGCAGCGGACGGTGCAGTCTGGCCGACCTTGGGCGGGCTATAAATAGAGCTTTCTTCACCCAAATTTATTTTTGAAGGCAAGAGAGAGAGACTGTAAGGCTGTCCGATCGTTAACTCGTCCGAAACCGAGAAAGCTTGCCCGAATTCAGTAAAGTTTGCCCTTGAACAAGGAAACTCTGTCCGAGACCTGAGAATCATCGCCTGTGGTCGAGAAAACTTGACCGTGGGTAAGGAATCGTCGACCGTACTCGAGAAGTTCTACCCAAGACCCAGAAAACTTTCCAAGCTATCGAATCCGTAAGTTGTGGTCGAATTTTGTGTTTGTTTGTATGTTTTCTAGAGCTAGTCTTTAGATTATATGCATGCTTACTCACTTAGACTTAACTAATCGGAATTCAGCTTAAGTTAGAACTTGAATCTTAAAGTGAATATGGGCATTCGACGAACTTGATAATACTATTACTAAGGAATGAAACAGACTGGTGCATGACTAGGTTAAATGAACATGGACTTAATTAAGTTTACTTGATGATTGAGATATGATTCGAGGGCTTACTTACCTTGTTAGGTGGTTATACTTATATGAGATATGCTATGAGGTTGCGAGTAAATCCTTGCTATATTATGCATATATATTACGTTATTTGGTGTTTGATTGTCTATACTTGTTTGGGGTATAATAAACTACTTATATATATAGTACTGCATGTGGTTATTGTGTCTAAGTGGTATGTTAGTAAGTTTTGATCCTGAGTGGTCACTTACATGATGGCACAAGACTCGGAGCGTATGCTGGGTAATGCATGACGATGCATTAAAGTGATGTTCCGGTTATAAGCCTTTGTGGCTATAGCTCGGGTGTTCACAGTTGTGTACGTACGTGTGGTGTGGGTGTGCACGTACGTGTGTGTGGTAGCATACGTGTGGAGAACATGTATACACGTATGCGGGAGTTTGTGCTGATGTTGTGGTGCACCTTTTTGGTAAGGTTGGCAGTATGCTGGGCCCAAGGTTCATTCATTTTTCTAGATTGGCTGCATATTCTGGTATTATTATAAGTATATGATAATTCGTTTATTATGTACTCTGTGATCCCTGATGGATACGTTTACCTATTAAGTTGCTTAACCCCTAGAGATTTATTTGTGCATAGACCCAACTCACTGAGTAATGTTAGATTACTCATGATTCTACTTGTCTTACAGGTAACCTTAGTGGGATGACCATAGCGGGGAGACGAACACTATGAAATGCCGGAACTAGGATGATTTACGTCGCTTCTGCAAAATTACTTGTTATTATGTAAATTTTAACGAGGATCCGATATAAAGATATATTCTTGGGTAAATCTTTGCCAAGTATAAGCTATATACTATGTATAAAGTGTTTTCTTAAAGGCAGCCGAGTGTTTAGTGATATAAGACCTAGTCAATATCACGAGGGTTGGCAAGCCTAAGTGGTGTTCCTAGTGGGAGGAGGGTCGATTATAATTTGGTTAAGGAACCGGATTCATCTGGAACCTCTACTAAGTTGTGATCGATCATCTTCACAGTAGCGTAATTGGGTCACCTGTGGCTTGTCCGGCCATAGGGCAATTCGGGGGCGTTACAGACCGTACCTTATCTCTAAAGTTGTTCGACCCGATGTCTACGAACTCAGGAGATACTACAACTAGATCTAAAAAGCATAAACTTGAACTATGAGGTGGCTTGATCCCTGAAAAGGGTAAGTAGGCAGCTCGTCTCTGGTGGAGTTCAGCTACCCCCCCCCTCCCATAAAAAACGGGGGAGTGGGTCCGTATATCCATACTCCCACTTTTATTTGTCTTGTAAGTTCTTTACCTATTTCGGCATAAATAAAAGTTCTACTTTTTATAATTTTATATTACAACGAGCGACGGCTCGGAGTATCTTTTACGCCGCCTTGGCTACAACGCGCTATATAAATTTTCGAGTTAGAACTTGCCGGAAATACTTTACGCAAAACCTCATTCTATCTTCAGAAAACCCGGTTAAATCTTAACACTGGTACCCCAGCTCGTTGCTAAACGCTCGTCCAAGGGTGAGTAGAATCGGGTCACAACTGAAATGATTTTCACAAAAAAACTTAAGCTCAGTTCATTCATAGTGGCTCTATCCAATGAACTGTTCGGAGTTAGCAAAGCAACTACAACCCGGTTAGATTACAAAAAATCAAACTAATAAAACACATTGGGGTCTAAGAAGCAAAACCAAGTTCTTAAAGAAAAGTGGATAAAGCCATCCATGCATATGTTCTACAGAAATACGGATAAAGACGTCTAGGCACAAAGTCTTAAGATGAAGCCGTCCTACCATGGATATCTACTCATGCTGTTCAGTCGGGAGAGTCCCAGCAGCGGGCAAGTACGACCCGATCTGATCGGTGACTCCCACCTCATTCGCAAGAGTCTCGACCGATCTATGACCTTTGGGGCTTAGAGGAGCCGGTTCGGGCGCAGGGGCTTTGAGCACTTCCTTCAGCTTAGATGTGAGACGAACAAGGTTCACCTCGGCATTGGCGAAATCCTTGGGCGAGTCCTCGACTTGTTTTTTCTCGATCGCCAAAGATCCACCGTCTTCCAGCGCCTTGATCAATTGTGCATTAGCCCACGCTTGGGACAAATACATGAATTGGTTGTTAGCATCCTCGAAGAGCGACATCTTCTCCTCAGCCATCTTGAGCCTGGCGGTGAAGGCCTCCGAAGTTTCTCGCCTCGCCGTTTGCGTAGCCCGAGCCACTTCGCTTTCCCTAAGTCCTCTCGCCTCGGCAAACAGTCGTCTGCAACGAACAACCTCGGAGTCCATCTTAAGGTTGCGCTTGGCCATCTTGATGGCATTCTCCTTGTTGACAAAGGCCTCTCTCTTGATGGCAACCTCGGAGATCGCCGCATCTCTCGCTTGCTCGGCCTCTTTCGCCCTTGCCTCATCTTTAGCCAACTTATTAACCACCTCCAGATTGTTTCGCATGACCGATCATAAGACAGGACCATCCGATTCATTGAACCAACGTCCTAAAACATAGAGGCAAGCATCGACATTAAATAACAGCTCGGAAAACACGCCAAAGAACCAAAATGAGTAACACGCTTACCCTTACAAAATGCTACACCCTCTCGACGTACTTTCTAGATTCCAGTAGAGTGTTTGGAGACGGAAGTAGGCGACCCGCACATTTCCCGCGGAGATTCGCCGAAGCAGCCTTATCCTCGAAAATAGGAGGCTTCTCCTCCCTCTTCGCTGCTTTCTTCTTCTTCAACTTCCTCTTCTTCTCCTCGGAGTCGTCAACCTGCGGACGCGTTCGTGAGGCCTTGTCGTTGGTCAAAAGCACGATGATTGCTTGCCTAGCTTCTTCAACCGGCGGATCTCTCAAAATCAAGCCGGTGTCACCAGCTTCAGCGTGCTCAGATGCGGCAGGCACAGCAGCCTTGGGGGCACCTTCCCAATCCCTGGTCGCGTTGGGACCAACATTCGCACTCTCAGCAGCGATTTTCTCTACCGCGAGACGCTTCTCCTCGGCCGCACGCTTCTCCTCGGTAGCAAGCCTCTTCCTCTCATAAACCTCCCTTATGGTAGATTTGCTAGTCTGCATGTCGACAAAAAATTGGGTTTGATGATTTGACAATTCTAAGCTGGAGGGGCAAGGAACACCGTGAAACAATTGAAGCGCTCGTTCAAGTCGCTCTCGAGAGAAATGCTTTGTCCAAAGGCACTTCCGGGCCGATAACTCTTGATGACACGAGATAAGATCTTCAGGACACGGCTCGAACAATCGAATTGGGCGATCTGCAATAAAGTAAGAACATAATTAAAAATTGGAACAATCAGCTTGGGCACGAATAAATGAACCATAATATCTAAAGCCACGAAGAAAAAGTAGTCGGTCTAGGCATCATGTTTGCTCGAAAAATCCCCTATTGATTGCACTTTTATCTACCTATTATTTGTATCCTCTATTTGCATCCCCTGATGATTGCATTTTAGTTCTGCCGGTTGGTTCTACTCGACCCAATGATCGAGTAGGGCTCTTAAGTTCTCATTTTTACTTGTTTGAATCCTGACCTAGGGTTGTTACTAGAAATCCACCATCATTATAATATGGCTTGACTTAGTTGTTTCTGTGCACATCTTAATTGCTAGCAATAACAGTGGACTGGATTGACACCCCCTATAGCTGCATCGACATGTGTGTGTATTAGGGGAATTGAACTGAATCACACACATGAAGCACATAAGTAGGCATAAAAAACCTGCTTATCAATTTGGCGATGTTGCCAATTCATTGTTGTATTGTTGCATTCAAGATATCAGAAACTTTTAAGATCAAGTTCTTTTACATTTATCAAGTTACTAACTCATCATTTCGTCTGCTTGTTTTGTGGTACAGGTACTAATCTTTGTGCATGCAAACTCGATCCAAAGGTTCTACACACCTACTATTATTCAAAGACAGAATTGACAGAATAGCTCGTGAGTTACAAGAAACCAAAGCAAAGGCAGCATGTGATCAACAAAGAACAGCTGCTATGGATCAACAAAACAGACCAGTTGATGTTCCAGACCCACCTAATGTTGATAAACCAAGAAACATTGGTAGTGGTGATACCCAAGGAATCATCACCAAAGACAAGGGATAGTGCCACCACCAGTTCAGAACAACTACTTTGAGAACAAGAGTGGTCTCATCTCAATGATCCACGGAAACAAGTTTCATGGTCTACCTATGGAAGACCCCTTGGACCATCTTGACAGCTTTGATAGGCTTTGTGGCCTTACCAAGATCAATGGTGCCACTTAAGATATGTTTAAGCTCAGACTATTTCCCTTCTCTTTGGGAGACAAGGCACACCAGTGGGAGAAGACTCTACCCCCAGACTCCATCACCTCATGGGATGATTGTAAGAAAGCTTTTCTTGCCAAGTTCTTCTCTAATGCTCGCATCGCTAGATTGAGGAACAAGATCTCACGTTTTAACAAGAAAAACAAGGAAACTTTCTAGGAAGCTTGGGAGAGGTTTAAAAGCTGCACCACTCAGTGCCCCCATCACGGTTTCAAGAAGGCTTCATTATTGAGCACACTCTACAGAGGAGCTTTACCAAAGATCAGAATGCTACTTGACATTGCGTCCAATGGAAATTCCTGAACAAGAATGTAGTAGAAGGGTGGGAGTTGGTCGAAAATCTAGCACAATCTGATGGGTGCTACAATGAAGACTATGATCGTTCAATGAGAGGAACTGGAGGAACTGAGGATAAACAGAGCAAGGATATCAAGGCTCTGAATGAAAAGTTAGACAAGCTGTTGTTGGCTCAGTAGAAGCAGATATACTACATCACTAATGAAGAGCACTTCCAAATGCAAGAAGGGGGGAATGATCAAACTGAAGAGCTTTGCTACATTCAGAACTAAGGAGGGTTCAACAAGGGCTACAACAACTACAAGCCCAACCCGAACCTCTCCTACAGAAGCACTAATGTAGCTAACCCCCAAGATCAAGTGTATCCACCTCAACAGAATCAGTCCAAGCCTTTTTGATATGTCTATAATTTACATGTTTTCAGTGTTCATTCATCATCATTTTGAGTCTAGTTTCATATCACTCATCATTGTTTTATATCATTTCTCATCATTCTTGCATGATTAGAATAGCTTTGCATACATATTGCATTGTTGATTTGGAGCTGTTGACGAGCAAAGTGGAAGAAGAGAGTCGGAATCAGAGGACATACTCGACCTCCAGGCCGTGTACATCCATCACCATACTCGACCCCCTGGTCGAGTAACTTTGGAGCTATTCTTCCCATCTACTCGACCCCGTGGTCGAGTAACCTCAGCTCAGGCCACTCGATGACGCCACTCGACCCCCTGGTCGAGTATCACTTCGCCATACCACGTGACCACACTCGACCGTTCACTCCACCATATTACTCGACCCCCTGGTCGAGTATCATCACTCACCACCAATACCATCACTCGACCAAGCACTCGATCACATCTTTGGAGTCTACTCAAATTCGCACTCAACCAGACAAGCTGAGCACAAGGAAGAGAAGAGGAGAACAATAAGTGTTTGGAAGCGGCCTGGAGCTCCATCGGATCACGAAGCCCATCTCGGCCTATTATCACTCTATGGGTTGGGCGATTAGGTTATTGGGCGATTAGGTTATTGGGCGTCTTAGGGTTCTGTCCTGAAACATCCAGTCGACATTGAGTTTTTGCTTCAGTTTTATTTTCTTTTTTACTCTAGCTGCGCCGCTTTTGCTTCTACAACCTGTAATTCGAGATTTTTCCAAGTTATTCAGATTCCGCATTTGATTTCACCTGTCATCTATTCTTTATCTCTTCACTTATGCAATATTATCATTTACCTGCGTTTATGTCTTTGAGCATGTTGTGTGAGTAGTGACTTAGAATTCTTAAGGATGGGATAGAGTAGTTGTGGAATCCGTAGTCTATAGAATGGTTAAGTGTTAGAATTGATTGAATCCCTTCAGGACTAGTTCCTGAGATATTCGTCTCTATCCCAAGGGATTGGCCGTTTAGAGCGTTTATTGACTTTATCAATCTGTTCTTATTTCCTGCATAGTTAGATTCCATTGATGGGAATTAGTCTGGGCTAGCTTTGCTTGAGGATTTCTATCACGGGAGTGAATTGATCTGTTGTTGAACCTGTTGTCTAGGGATAGCTTGATTGTGCTTGTTAACCATTCGAATAGGCTAGGATACCACTCTATTCGATTACCCCATCCTTAGGAATTTCTTGTCTATCTGATTTCTCTGTTTTATCGTTATCACTTAATCGTTGTCATTGCCTGTTTCTTAGTTTTTGCAATTACTCGACCAACTTACTCGACCACACCCAATGTCTGGCAACAGACTGTGCAGTCGAGTGCAGTTGTCTCGTTTCGTGTCTGTTACTCGACCAGCATACTCGACCACACCCAGTGTCTGGCAATAGACTGTGTAGTCGAATAAGCTGTTTCATATCTTGTCTGTTACTCGACCTGTTACTCGACAGCATCCTGCTTCTGGCATCAGCCTGTTGTGGTCGAGTGAATTTAGTAATTCTGTTATTGTTTTTGTTTTCTGCATGTTCGCTTAGGACTGTTAGAAACCCCAAAACTGTTATTGCTTCACTTGACTTCGTGACTTCTGATCACATCTCATTTATTTGCATCACACCCATTTGGATTTACACCTAAAATACTACAACGACATGATAGTGCTTTAGGATTCATTGATCTTAAAAACCTATTTATCAATTTGGCACTGTTGTCAATTGGGTGTTTGTTTGCTATATTTGAGATTTCAGAATACTTAAGATCAAGTTCTTTTTCATTTTTACTGAAAGTTACTAACTTTGTGTTTTTTCTGTTTGTCTGTTTTGATTTAGGTACTACGAATCACCAGCTTCACCAATTGATACTCGTTGTATGCAAACACGGTCACAAGGAAATAAAAATCTCTTATTCAACGATAGCATCGATCGTACTGCTCGCCAACTCAGAACACAGACAGAAACAAACACAATGGCTGCAGTTGTCGATGAGCAAGTGCAACCAAACAACATAGGTGCAAGTGATGCACCACGCAACCACAATCAGCATAATGGCATTGTGCCTCAACCAGTGCAGAACAACAACTTTTAGATCAAGAGCGGTCTCATTGCCATGGTTCAGAGCAACAAGTTTCATGCCCTCCCTATGGAGGATCCACTCGATCACCTGGACGAGTTTGAAAGGCTCTGCAGCCTAACAAAGATAAATGGAGTTAGTGAGGATGGCTTCAAGCTCAGATTGTTTCCATTCTCTCTTGGAGACAAAGCCCATCAGTGGAAAAAGTCGCTTCCTTAAGGCTTTATCACCTCCTGAAATGACTGCAAGAAAGCCTTCTTGGCTAAGTTTTTCTCTAACTCTAGGACTGCGAGACTAAGGAATGATATTTCCGATTTCACACAGACAAATAATGAGACTTTCTGCGAAGCATGGGAGCGCTTCAAAGGTTACCATACACAATGTCCTCATCATGGTTTCTCCAAAGCTTCACTTCTCAGCACGCTCTACAGAGATGTCCTTCCCAAGATCAGGATCCTTCCTGATATCGCTTCTAACGGGAACTTCCTCAACAAAGATGTTGAGGAAGGCTGGGAGCTGGTAGAGAACTTGACACAGTCGGATGGCAACTACAATGAAGATTACGATAGAAACATCCGCCACAGCTCTGATTCTGATGAGAAGCAATGCATGGAAATGAAAGCCATGAATGACAAACTGGACAAGCTACTCCTTGTACAAAAGAAGCACATTCATTTTCTGGGTGATGATGAGACGTTCCAAGTCCAGGATGGGGAGACTCTACAGTTAGAAGAAGTCAGGTATGTGCAAAACCAACGAGGTTACAACAAAGGTTTCAACAACTTCAAGCAGAACCATCCTAATATGTCTTACAGAAGTACAAATATTGCAAACCAACAGGACCAAGTTTACCCTTCACAGTAGCAGAATCAACCCAAGCCCTTTATTCCATACAACCAAGGTCAGGGGTATGTTCCAAAGCAGCAGTATCAGGGCAACTATCCACAGCAACTTCCACCACTTGGGTTCACACAACAGCAACAACAACCAGCTTCAACAACTCTAGATTCAGACTTGAAGAACATGTTACAGCAGATTCTCCAGGGACAAGCAGCATGAGCAATGGATCTCGCCAAAAAGATGGCAGAAATCCACAACAAGGTTGATTGCACTTTCAACGATCTGAACATCAAACTTGAGGCACTTACCTCTAAGGTCAGATACATGGAAGGATAAACTGCGTCGACCTCTGCTCCCAAAGTAACAGGACTTCCAGGGAAGTCCATACAGATGCCGAAGGACTACGCCATCGCTCACGCAATCATTATCTGTCATGATCGAGAGCTACCTACTCGACATGTCTCCAACTCAATCACCGAGGACAGTGATATTCAGGATGGGGAGGCTTCTACTCAGATTGAAATTTCAGTTGTTGGACTCGACCATTCAGATGGATCCCGTTTTCAAACTCAGTCCAACCTAGACGAGAAAGCAGCCATCATTGAGAGGATGGTAAAACGATTTAAGCCAGCACCATTACCTTCACGTGCTCTTCCATGGAAATTCAGGAAAGCATGGATAGAAAGATACAATTCTCTTGCAGAAAAGCAGCTTGATGAGATGGAAGTGGTGATGCCTCTAATAGAAGTTCTCAACCTGATCCCGGATCCTCACAAATAGAAATTCAATTCTGGAAAGGATCAAGATGTATCAAGTTTCAGAAGACGAATTTTATGCTAATCCGTCTAGAGTGACTGTTAAGAGGAACTTCTATAAGACAGATTGGGATGGTTCTGCTTGAAGTTGTTGAAACCTTTGTTGTAACCTCCTTGGTTTTGCACATACCTGACCTCTTCTGACTGCAGAGTCTCCCCATCCTGAACTTGGAACGTCTCATCATCACCCAGATTATGAACGTGCTTCTGTTGCACAAGGAGTAGCTTGTCCAGTTTGTCATTCATAGCTTTCATTTCCCTGCGGTGCTTCTCATCAGAATAAGAGCTGTGGCGGATGCTTCTATCGTAATCTTTATTATAGATGCCATTCGACTGTGCCAAATTCTCTACCAGCTCCCAGCCTTCCTCAACATCTTTGTTGAGGAAGTTCCCGTTAGAAGCGGTATCAAGAAGCATCCTGATCTTGGGAAGGACACCTCTGTAGAGGATGCTGAGAAGTGAAGCTTTGGAGAAACCATGATGAGGACATTGTGTCTGGTAACCTTTGAAGCGCTCCCCTGCTTCGCAGAAAGTCTCATTATTTGTCTGTGTGAAACCGGAAATATCATTCCTTAGTCTTGTAGTCCTAGTGTTTGAGAAAAACTTAGCCAAGAAGGCTTTCTTGCCGTCATTCCAGGAGGTGATAGAGCATTAAGGAAGCGACTTTTCCCACTGATGGGCTTTGTCTCCAAGAGAGAATGGAAACAATCTGAGCTTGAAGCCATCCTCACTAACTCCATTGATCTTTGTTAGGCTGCAGAGC